AACTGCTACTATTTATTTATTTTGCTCACTATTCTCGCTCTCACGCTCATTTGCTCTATTTCTCTTTTTGGGGGATATGAGTATTGTAATGTTACACCTTGCGGTTGTAATTGATGTTGTTTGTGTAATTCCCCACCTTTATGTTTACTTGTTGTTGTTGTACAAGGTGGGGTACATTTCTCATAGACACACATGTGCACATACCTACATACTTGTACACATTCATCTACTCTACCTCCAACAAAGCTTAATTGACAATTAAGAGACAGCGAAAACCAACGGCCGGTAAATCGACAGACAAAACGAACACAGCAATGTTATGATCGCTACGATGATGACAGCAATCATTGTCGCCGACAGCAACAACAACAACAAAGCAGCAACACAAATTTGTGTTTTTTCCTTTGCATTACAAAGGCAAAAGTGTGATTGCACCTTTAACAACAGTAGTGTTAAATTGAGTTTAGAAGAGAGAACATCAGCCGAGAGCGCGGACATTGTAAATAGTTCAAGAAATGTGGTTTTTAAAGGGAATTTTGAACAGAATTTCATAAAAATGAATTTGAAATTATCATTGGGACACAATTTGGTAAATATTCAAACACCAGAAAATGTGCAAATTGAATGAAAAAGAATTTTGCAAACAACTTTGGGAGAGGGCATTATGACTCTCTCTCACATAATGCCCAGTAGGAAATTTGCAAGTGGAAATAGGTGCCTAATTGAATTGAATACGTTTACGCACCATGGGTTATCTCAATGGATTTTTGACTTAGAAAATAGCAGAACTGATAACATAAATATTTTTTTGCACATACATATTTCTCAATTTAAAAGCCAATGACCGCTTAATTAATGAAATTCTTTTTTCTCTCCCCCTTTCGTTACAGAGTTGCAAAATATGCCACAAAGCTTTTGCCAATGTCTATCGCCTGCAACGTCACATGATTAGCCACGATGAGTCGGCTTTATTGCGCAAATTCAAGTGTAATCAATGTGATAAGGCCTTCAAGTTTAAGCATCACCTCAAGGAACATGTGCGCATACATTCCGGCGAAAAGCCATTTGGTTGTGATAACTGTGGCAAACGTTTCTCGCATTCCGGCTCCTTCTCATCGCACATGACCTCCAAGAAATGTATTAGCATGGGTCTGAAGCTCAATAACAGTCGTAATCATTTAAAATCCGCCAACGCATCACCGAACAGTCTTAAAATATCCTCGCCAAATGGTAAAAGTGATGCAGCCAATAACATTGTCAACAACTTAACCAATCCCATGAACTATTTTGCTGGGGATTCAAGTACTGCTGCCGCCGGCACCCCTCCAACCAATCCATTCTATTCAAATTTGCTACCCAAATATGGTGATTATAATAGTGCCATGAATGCTGCCCTACTAGCATCATTCCCCAATCCATTCTATAGCATGGCATTGGATCCGCGTATACACCCATATAGTATACAACGTTTATTGGAATTGACTGCTGCTGGACAGCAGCAACAGCATAACAATCAGGAGTCCGAACAACAGTCTCAAACACTAACACCACCACCACAATTCGGCCATCAAAATGATGAGGCTGAGGAAGAAGAGGAAAATAGCAAAGATTTGAAAATTTCCAACAGCAGTAATGCCGATGAAGAAGAAGACATACACTCAGAAACTTTGGACCTAAATGAAGAAGATAATCTGGACGAACCAAAATTGGTAATGGATTTGGAGGCCAGCGAAGGGGATAACAAGGAAACCGAACAGAACACCTCAATCAACAGTCAAGAAAATGAAATGAAGTTAAAGAATCTCACCAAGAAACACAAGAAAACGAGGAATTTGAGGCATCACAAAAATCAGAACTCAATACCAAATCCATTAAACAGGAACAAACTGAAAGTCGTGATGCCCCGGAATCTCCGGTAATATTACCACACAAATTAAACAGGAAAACCTGGAAGAATCTGAAGAGCAATTAGAAATCGCTGAAAAGGAAGAGGAATCGGTAGAAGTGGAAAAGCCCTCCGAAGATCAGAATAACAGCTCAATTGCCGAACTACGTTGCAGCCGTTGTGATAAGAAATTTAATCATCCCACAGAATTGGTACAACACGAAAAGGTATTATGTGGCTTTATTAAACAGGAATTGGAGCAACAATATCAGCAGCAGCAGCAACAAGTTTTGGACCAATCCCAAAACTCCAGCTCCTTTATGGCTGCTAGTGATGTTGAAGATGAGCAGGATGAACGTGATTCAATTTCACGTAATGATTGTTCCAGTGGCGGGGAAAGTAATGCCGAACGTAAGGTCCGTGTTCGCACTGCCATTACCGAGGAACAGCAGCAACATCTCAAGCAACATTATGCCATCAATTCCCGACCGAGTCGTGAAGAATTCCGTTTGATTGCCTCTCGTTTGCAACTTGATGCTCGCGTTGTACAGGTGTGGTTCCAAAATAATCGCTCGCGTGAACGTAAAATGCAATATAACAACATTAACAATAATAACAATAACCTGAAAGCTGCATTCCCCTTGCCCCCGTTGCCACCAATGGCTGGCACAGGACAAACGCAAAATTTCGAAGAAGCTCCTTTAAGCAAACCTGTTACAAATTCCGAAGAGTTGCCATTGGATTTATCGGTGAAGCCTCAACGAAATTCCAGTAATGGTCAACAGCAACATTCTCCGTTATATGGTATTGCTCCACTGCAGACAGCAAATGCCAATGTGGCTGGAGATTTGGCCGAAGCCATTAATCTAAGCCGCAAAATGTCACCGCCCACCTCATTATCGCCCAACTCTGCTGCCTCCGTGCCAGCAGTTTTCAAGCAACAAGCTCAAGCTGCAGCTGCTGCCGCGGCTCTCTATTTTGCAGCACCCTCGCAGGCAAATGGTGCACCCAACTTACCTCACAATATGCGCCAGACGCCCTCACCCATTGAAGCTCCGCTCTTGGGTCCCCAACAGACTTCTACGCCACGTGGTGCTGCTGCATTCCCTTCATTCTCTCAATTACCTCCATACATGATGCCCGCTGCCATGGCAGCTGCCCAACGCAGTCTTATGCCCATGGAAGCTCTATTTCAAATGACGCCCGGCTCAGCAGACTATGCCCGTCAACATCCGCTAATGAACAGTATTAAAATGGGTCCCACTCTCGACTTCAGAGGCAACAGTCTAAGTCCTAACTCCGAGAAACGTTCATGGCGTGATGATGATTCACGGATATCACATGAAGATGAATACGCCCACGCTCAGGCCCAAGCAGCGGCCGCCCTTATGCCACCCAAACCCAAGCGGGCCAAGGCCGAGACCCATGGCCATGCCGGTGATCCTGATTTGCCTTTCATTTGTGATCAATGTGATAAAGCATTTGCTAAACAAAGCTCGCTGGCGAGACATAAGTATGAGCATTCCGGCCAACGTCCCTATCAGTGCATGGACTGTCCCAAGGCTTTCAAGCACAAGCATCATTTGACGGAACACAAACGTTTGCATAGCGGCGAAAAGCCCTTCCAATGTTCCAAGTGCCTAAAACGTTTCTCACATTCCGGCTCCTATTCACAGCACATGAACCACCGTTACTCCTACTGCAAACCATACAGGGAATAGGTAAGCGACAATGGACAATCGAATGCCTGCGCCACAAATAATACTAATGTCACCACTTCGTTGGGGTCGTCAATGACTACTTCTGCGAGTGGGATGGGTAAATCTACAACAACGTCCACAAGACGCAATTCAGCTAACCATCATGGTATGTTGAATATGCATGAGTTTCGTAAAAAATTCAATATGGCTAATGCGTTGCGTCAACAACAACAACAACATCACATACATCATTTACCTTCAATGGCTGTGTTTCAGCAACAGCAAGCAGCCGTAAGACCACCGCCACACCTAATGAATAACTGGAATCTGTTGAGTCCTTCAAACTTTACCAATCCCAGGTCAGTGGGTCCACCTCAGTTACCAGGTCCTGCGTTATTGCATGGCAATGTTGGTGTTCATACCATGACATCGTCAATGAATAGAAATCCTGGCTTCTTTGCAACTGGATTTCCTCGCTTCAATGGTCCCTCGCCATCAAACGTGCATACAAACTTACCGTCCTCCCAGCAACAACATCAACAACAGCAGCAGCAACATCATTTTAACGCATCCACGGCATCATCAACAAATACCACGGCACAGTTCGATTTTTATAACCCAAAAATCTTAATGAATTAAAAGAGCAAAAGAATAGACGGGAAGAAGAACCCCCCATTTCGAAATATTTAAACGATTTTCTTTTTTAATTTCAAATTTCTTCAAATTTTTGCGGATCTAAAGAAAAACCCAAATGCTAACTCCAAATCGCACTTAAAAGCGTACTTAATATTATAACAGACCAACTAAGAATTTTTTGTATTTTCTTAAAACTGAAATGCTGAAAACCAAACGATATTCATATATATATTTTTTTAATTTTAAATGATTTTCGATTTTTGTGCAGGCACATAAGTTTTTTCCATATTTTCTGTTCATGTTCATAGTTAAAATGTCTTACATTTTCAAATATTTTTTTTTTTTTGATTTTCAAAAGTTGCTGAATTTAAAAACTATTTCTAAAAAAAACCTTTCATCTCGAATTTATTTTTTTTTTTTAAATTTTATTAGTTTTATGTACTATAATAATTATAGTTTTTTTTTTTGTAATTTTTAAGTTTGTATATTTGTTGTTTCTTTGTTTTTGTATTTGGAAAGAAACATTATTCACTAGAGCTTCCTTTTGTTTAATATGTTTACATATAATTTTTGTATTAATTTAAGCGAAGAGAAGTAAAGGCCAGTACCTTTATCGAAATACTCATTGAAAAGTATAGGTTATTGTTTTTTTTGAATCTATATAGTTATATATAGGTAGGCGACTTTATTTTTGTAGGTATTAAAGTATTGATTTTTTTAAGTTATTTTTTTCATGATTATTTTATATGTTCAATATTATTTGCAATAAATTACAATGTTTTATATTTTACAAAACAATTTTAAATATGCAATATTTTTCTTATAAGCATAACATATACGGCTGGGTTTCGAAGCAATTAATTTTTATATTTTAAATGATGTATTTTCAAAACATGATCTGAATGAGCAATATTATACCATATGCGATTGTGAATAACATCTTTGCAAATCTGATTAAAATTCAGTTGAATGTTTTATTGAAGTCATTGTTTAAATATTTTGTCCACAACAACAGGCTGGGTTTAAAGCAATTTTTGATTTCAAAATTTCTCTCAATACAATAAGAATTTTTTCTATTATACAAATTAAGTGCGCAATTTGAAAGTTACACCAATATTTTTTTATTTTCAAATAAAAACTGAAATCAGTTAACAATAATAACAAAAAAAAAACACCCACCGCTCAAAGAAACCAATAAAAAAAATAATAATCAACAACATTTTTGGTGTAATAAAAATATATATTGAAAAATTGGCTTTTAGATTAAAAATTATTTTCAAAATTTTCTTAGTTGAAACAAATACCTATACCAAATCATTCCATTAAGAACTTTCATTACAACACACAAGGGGTTTTTTCGATTGCATAAATACCAAACAAAAAATTGAAACCAAAACCAATGAAAGTTTCTTGTTTTAGTTTTTTTTCTTTATAAGATAGATTTGTATGAAAATGAAATTAATTAAAACTAAGCTTAAAACAGTTAAAAAATAACTTAAACTTATTCATTTGGCCTTATATATTAAAAAAATATTTAATTAACTTAAAAAAAGGAAAGCTAGTTTTAAATAAAATTAAATACAAAGAAAAACTTAATTATATGATACACAAAATAGAGATTTTTTCCTAATGATATTAAACCAATTTAAAAGAAAACAAAAACATTTTCTTAAAATAAAAGGAGTTGTGTTGTAATTTAAACAAAAAAATAAATTTATGTACATGAGTAAAAAATAAATATAGCAAAATACTAAAAATATTTCAAAGGACAATAAGAAAAATATACCATACAAAAAAAAACTACACAAATTTATAACTAAACTGAAAAAGAAAAAAGAAGAAACTAAAATAAAAACACAAATAATTTTCAATAATTTGCTTTTTAAATAATTTGTGGATACATAAAACTAACAACGAATTACTAAACAATAGGAGTCGCCAGGAACCCAACTTAATTTAAAAAAATCCTTGTGTTTCAAACTCATTTAAGCTTTACATTTAGTTTGTCCACCCTCCAAAAAAATATCCACCAAAAACAAACAAGGTTTCCAAAACAACGAAAAAAAAAGAAAAACAATTAATTACCACACCAATCACCACCTCCATGAAAAGGTCAATACTCTATACATAAATATATTTACATATATGTTTTGTAATAAAAAACTGCATTTATTTATTATTTTTAAATAACAACTTGTTTAAATTTACAACATAAACTTAATAAATTTAAGTTCGGTTAAGTTGAAAACATTTTTTTAATATACCAAATAAAAAACCAAAATTGTATTTTGTTTATAAATATGAAAAAACTACACACAAAGCTAGAAAATCCAAAGACACTCTTGTACTATAAACAACAAATACACTTTAACTTATGCTCAAAATTGAAATTAATAACAAATAAACTTAAAATTAAAAAAAAAAAAAACATACAATTATGAATTTAGATGTAAACCGAAAACCTTTACTCTTAAACAAAAAATTAGCATAATTTAACGCTTTAAAATCCTTAAAACACACTGTTATTATTTTTAAGACCAAACCTTAATTAAACACTTCTCTTAAACACACACACACAAAAACAAACAGAAACGTTTTGTTTTTTCCTTAAGGCCTTATTACACAAAATAACTTTAACTATACCATTTAAAAACGTAATAAATATTATTGTTAATAAAACTGCTTCACCACCAATCATTGATCTTTCCTCCCATTATTTTGTTACTATTTTTTATTTAATAAAAAAACAACTTTGTACATAACCATTTCTTCCACCCACACACACACAAATAAACAACAATAATGTATTATTTTTTTATTATTACAGTTTATACACAATTTTTATAATCAGTTTTTTATATATAAATTTTTTTTATGTTTTTTTCTTACTTTGTTTGTTTTTTTTTTTTATTTCAAGTTTTTCTTTATTATTTACATAGTTATACATAAATATAAAAAATAAACTAAAGAAAAGATATACTAAATGTTTAAGGTGTTAAATATAAAACAATAATAATAAACCAAAAGAAAGCCATAAAAATAATAAACCAAAGTATATTACTCTATATACATAATTCTATGTATTTTAATCAAAATTGTAAGAATTTTTTGTCATTCACATAATATTATATATATTATTATTATAAAAAATTTACAAAAACTTATAATAATTATAAAATTTACATTTAAAATAATGAAAGAAAAACAAAAAACACAAAATAAAAAAAGAATGCCCATAAAAAATTAATAAAAATCTTTATTGAAAAAATTACAATTTTTCGTGTTATTATTAGTGTTCTGATGGGATAGTGGGAAGTTCCATATTAATCTTTAAAGGTAGCCTTTGATGGGGAAAGATCTATTTTGACACAACTTTGTAGATGGTTCAAAACTTTGGGTGCCTTGGATCAATGGGTTTTATTCGCTACATCTTAAATGGCATTTTTGTAATTTTGATGGTCTTCGACTCCTTATGTAAGTTGTCTATCAGGATTAAAATACATCAAATTCAGCGCAATCACTTGACTTGTATAATAACCACAAATGTAAACTATTAAAGTGAAAATGTTTGTACAAGAGAGATGGTGTATTTTAAATGAAATCGGTAGAGTTGCTGCAGAACTACAGGGAGAGATAAAAGAAGTAAAAAAGCAGTAAGTTCGACCGGGACGAACTTTGAATACCCTCCGTCATTTGGAACTAACTTGGAAATTTTCAAAAAATAACATTCGCCAAAAATTCTGTGGTTGTACCGTTGTATGTGGGCTATACGATATCTTGAACCTATATAGATATTTCTCTTCTCAACTTATAGTATAGGGATAAAGTACTCAGACGGAAATCCTTAGGTGGATTTTCAGAAAATTGTATCGAAAAATTTGGCTACAATCACCAAAATACCGAATATCGGGGGTACCGCTATAGGGGGCTATACGAGATCGTAGACTTATATAGCAATTCTCTTACAGCAGGTAAAGTATTCAAAAGGAACTCCTTGTGTTTATTTACAGACAATTTCATTCATCAAAAATTATAATCAAAATACAGAATATCGGGGGTACCGTTGTATGGGGGCTATACGATATCGTGGACCTATATAAATAGTTCTCTTCCAGAGGGTAAAGAATTCATTGTGTGGATTTTCAGACAATTCCATTGGAAAATGTGGCGAAAATAATCAAAATACCGAACATCGGGTGGTACCGTTGTATGGGGGCTATCGTGGACCGATACAGCCCATCTTCGAACTTAAACTGCCTGCTGACAACTGATCTGTGCAAAATTTTTGCTTCCTATTTTTATTCGTTTTAACTCTAACGCGATTACAACAGACGGACGGATGGACGGACAAACGGAATGACGAACTTAATATACCCTCCATTCTATGTATGGTGAAGGATATAAAAAACTGAAACAATATCAAAAGCCATGATTTTTACTTTTTTTTTAATTTTATTTCATGAAAACAAAAAATGTCGGAAATAGCATCAAATTTTAGGATAAGTTTAGACTTGTTCGAATTGGTCACCTATAGCACGAACGGCCAATGAAACCGTGACACGCTGCCCGAATGTTGTTTTGTGGTATTTTGGCCCATACCTGGCGAAGCGCTTTTTAGTGCCAACCTTGTTTTCCAAAATACTCCAGACACAATAGTCCAATGGATTGGTATCTGGAGATTTTGGTGGCCATTGTGAGCTGGAAATGAAGCGAGGAACCTCATTTTGTAACCATTCTTGGGTGCGCTTGCTGAGTCCTGTTTGAATGTCCAAGGTCTGCGACCAAAATGATTGCGTGCCCAACTCTTTAATACACCCTCCAGAATATTTTCGCGATACTATTCGGCATTTATTCTGATGCCATGGTCGATTAATACGAGCGGAGAGAGACTATCGGCTGTTATGACGGCCCACACCATCACCATGGCCGGCGCTTGAGTTCTGGTGGCCAACCGAAGGTGCATATTTTCAGTTGACCTCTTTGGCAAGTAAACACGATCATTTTGTTTGTTTAAAAACTGCTGGACAACGAATGTTTTCTCATCGGAGAAAACCAAATTCGGCAGTTCACAACTTTCGGCCAAGCTAAGCAACTCTTTAGCTCTTTTGAGTCTATTTTCCTTCTGTTGCGCTGTGAGTTCTTGCCATTTTTGGAATTTCAATAGCCTTACCCCGAGCTCCTTTTTCAATATTTGCCGAATGGAAGGTTGCGATATGTTCAGCTCACGAGTCATTTTTCGGCCACTGCAACTGCGTGTTTCGATCAAGTCGCTTCTTTACTTTTCGAACCATTTCTGCTGATATTCCTGTTTTTTTCCGTCCATTTCCTTGACGTCGGGCTGGATGGGACACAAACGATTTATTCACATTAAAATGCTGGAGTGCTCTAACTATAGCCACTTGTGGTTTTCCAGCTAAATATAAAGAAATCACACTATCACGCGTGAATTCCATTACGAATAACTTTTTTTTCTGAAAAATTCTCACCAAAATACTTTTGTAGGCTTGTAAACCATATAATGAGCTGTCACTGGAATAATTTTAACAGCTGTCGGACGAGTGGCTTAGGAATGAGAGAAAGTCTGAAGTTGGTTGCAGCTTTTTAATCTCACCCTGTATATTGGTTAGTTATATGTTCAGAGGCAACTTTTTATTGAAGGTATTAGGTTTGTTTGCCAACATTCCTGCAGAAAATTTCCAGCAACTTCTCTCTGAGAGAGTAAGGTAGTTTTATTTTCTTCTGCAAAAAAAAAAACGACAAAAATTAATTATCCCTGCAAACAATCAGCTGATTAAACACAAAACCTCAACACATATTAGGTGTGTCTGGTTACCCTAATATTTGTAACAATTGTTACAAATTGTTACTGGAAATCGTAACATAAAAATCTGCAAAAGAGAGCGATTTGAGAGAACAATTTTGACAGCTCATTCACTGGGAGTTTGAAAATTTTTGCTGATCAAATGTCTTCTTGCAATCACTTGCAACTCTTATTCTTCTTCTTATTTATCGACATTCAATTAGATGTTTTCTATTGTTTATTTCTTTTTGTGCTTTCAGAGAGACATATTGTCTCCCAATCAAAACATCCTCTCAATACTCGTTTATTGAAACTCCATACGCGAAGACATAATAATTGGTCACTTCCAGAGCTGCAAGAATGTAAACATTTTTACTACGATAAACGATTTTTCCTTTTTAATATAAAAAAAGGCAAAAAAAAAAATTTTTATAGGTTCTGGAACAGAGCAAATGTAAGCAAAACATAAACTGTATTGATTATTATCCAAAGTGACGACATTTCTAAAATCCTTTTGCAAACAAATCTTGTTCACAAATCACGGCAGCCCTGAAAGACATTTTGTTGGTTTTTGCTTTAGCTAAATAATTGTATTTAGAATACCCCTGGTCGATAAAACCGTTCACATTTTTCGTGCTTTTGGTTGATATATTGAATAAAAATGTTTTCATTCACAATGAAACAATGATGCCATCATTATTGCCAACAGCAAATATTCCAAAAAACTGCAGTTTTTTCCTGGTAATTGACAAATCACAAGAGGGTAAAGATTTTGTATGTAAACGTACTTTAACCAAAAACATTGAAGTATAAAGGCAGAGGACAGGACAGAGCCAAAATATGGCAACCCAGTGGAAATACCTCTGTTGGTGTGGTATCATAACAACAAAATTACCAGTGTTAGCTGATTTAGATTTAAACCGCTAAGACAATATGAAAATTTTTGGAAAGGTCTATGGAATATAATTTCGAAACCTCATTTTTCGATTTTTCAATCACATTTTTGGATTTTGTTTATCATTCGTTTTCGTAATTGTGGTGTTTATATTAACAGCTGAGCTGTTACTCTCTACTCTTGAGCTGTTACTCCATGTATTGTGGACACATTTTATGTCTTTGCTTTAACGGCCCATTTTTACAAAAAATACTTTTACGGTTGACAACAACTACTGACTTACAGGCAGATGCATCAACGCTTGGGAACATTGATATGCCATGATGCCAATTTGCTTATGTACCCTCACCTTACGTGTAGGCAAGCATGCTTCTTCCTAAAGACGTTTTGTATGCGTTTTCCAGCAAATTCAGTTTAGAGTCAATTTTTCAAGACTGCTCCAAAGTCATCAGCAGGCTCCACAACATATTTTATGTGCTCCACAAAATTAGAATCTCAAATTTAACCAGATATATTTTCTTTCACTCCACGATTTCTACTGTTTTTTACCAGTCTTTTATCATTTCCATTACTCGTACTTTTATTTTGCAGTTTATTAGCTACATTATTCACCGATTTTTATACCCTACACCACAAGGTGGTCAGGGTATTAAGTCTTTGTGCATTTGTTTGTAACAGGCAAAAGGAAACGAGATAGACCCATAGTTCCTTTTGATGATCTGCATAGAATCACATTCTGAGTCGATTTATGCATGTCCGTCCGTCCGTCTGTCCATGTATTTTTGTAAACAAAGTACAGTTCGCATTTATTGTCCTATCCAGATGAAATTTTGCAAAAAATCATTTGTTTGGCCCAAGGACGAACCAATATTTAGATGTAGCTCCCATATATAACTTCGTCTGATTTACCTTTTATTGTGCACCAAACGTCTAATATTTGTCCAAATTTGGCACTTACGACCGAATTAAGTGTAGAAGCTAGTATGTCAAATTTGGTTAAGATCGATTCTGATATAGCTATAGCTCCCATATATACTGTTCATCCGATTTGTCATATTTGTTACCCAACGCCGTAATATGCACTCCGTAACAACAATATTCAGGGAAATATATCAAATACAGCTCAGAAATATATTTGCCAAATTTTATGGAGATCAGTTCCGATTTGGATAGCTCCCATATATATTTTTATCCGATTTCAAAGTAATTGCGCACCAAATGGGCAATACAAGTCCGAATTTAAAAGATACAAATGCTTCGGTATATTTAGTCCTTTGAACTTTAAATTATAATCATAGCGTATCATACAATTCTCCCATAAAAACTTTTAATTGTTATGCGCAGCTCTACTAAATTAGCAAATTGTAGCAAAGAGTTGTAGGGTATCATAAAGTCGGCCCCGCCCGACGTTAAGACTTTCTTTACTGGTTTTGTTTTGATTTTGTTCTTTATCGACACTTTCCCTTGCTTCTTTGTAGCCTATTTATACGACGGCGTTGATTTTAACGCTTGCCTTTGTATTTTGATTCAGCTCTTGTTCTCGTGTGGTGGTGGCGTCGAATTTTATTTAGTGGTTTTTTAGATTTTCCTTTAAAAATGCTTGGAATACAAAACTATGGTAGTTCTTCTGAAGAAGAACATTCAGAGAATGAGGAGATTCCAAAAGCTGACGGAGAAAAGAGCACAACAGAAGCAACAAAAAGAAAAGAAGAAATGCCAGACTACCTCAAGCCCGTCGATCCGAAACTTTCGGTGGCTAAATCATTGGCCGTATGTGCAGCTCCAGAAGTTGTACCGATGGGCTCAGCTGCTGTTCAACGTACCATAGATCCAACACTCAAGGAAGTTGAATACAATCCACGTTATGAAGAGCTGTTTGCCCCGGTGAAAGGACCAGAAAATCCTGACTTGACACAGCAAATGAAAGCGGCACGAAATACATTGGCCGGTTATGTAGAGAAAGCTCACATCAACGCATTCGAGTTTGAAAATCAACGTAGAACATTTCACACATATGGCTATGCCTTAGATCCGTCCGTGGATGAAGAGGCCGATGGCCGTTCATTTGTTGGCGACTTACAATCGGCCTATGATGACGATGGCAAAACAGTGTTTGAGGCACCCAAGCCAAAGAAGAAACGAAAACAGGAGAAAAATGACAATCCGGAAGATATTGAGGGATTTCTCGGGCCATGGGGACAGTATAAAGATGAACAGCGGGTGGCTAAGCCAAATGAACAAGAAAAAGCTGAATTGGAAGAGATCTTGTCGAAGAGGCATCGCCGCAATAGAATACCAGAAGACAAGCCATTGGAAGAGAAATCAATATTACACAGTAAGTTAAATGATATTGAACATTTTCTCAACAATTTTCTAATACAATTTCTTTTTTGATTTCCACAAACAGTTAAAGATGCATATGATTATCAGGGGCGTTCATATCTTCACGCACCTCATGATCTTGATGTAAATCTAAGAACCGGAGCTCCACCGACCAAATGTTTCCTACCCAAAGCGCACATACATACCTGGACGGGTCATACCAAAGGCATATCAGCCATACGTTGGTTTCCACGAACAGCACATTTACTATTGTCCGGTTCAATGGATTGTCGTGTCAAATTATGGGAAGTCTATGGTGAACGTAGATGTATACGCACATTTAATGGTCATCGACAGGCTATAAAAGATATTGCTTGGAATAATAAGGGTACCAAATTTCTATCGGCCTCATATGATCGTTACATTAAGCTATGGGATGCCGAAACGGGAGAGGTGGTTTCACGTTTTACAGCTCGCAAAATGCCATTCTGTGTCAAGTTTCACCCGGACAATAATAAACAGCATTTGTTTGTTGCTGGTACATCGGATAAGAAAATTATTTGTGTAAGTATTAAAATTTGTTAAAAATAGTCCTAAAACAAAGATTCGATTTGTCGCTTGGTATGGGTGCAGTAAAGTCTTTCTTCTTGAGATTGAGGTTTTGGGATCATTGTGTTAAAAATTAAATAATAATTCTGCATATGAGCAAATATTTTGTCACAGACAAGGATATTGCATATTTGAGGCATTTTAAAATTGTTGTCGCAGTTTCTACCTATATGCCTCTTTAAATAAAATTTTGATGTGGTTTTATTGATTCCTCATGCACCGCGTGGTATAAACCTGAAATCATATAAACCAAATAGTTATTGTATGCACATCAATTGCATCGAAGCATCTTCGCTTTTGGTGAATCATTTAAATGCTATTAGAAAAAAAATAGGTTAGCTAGGTTAAGGTTTAATGATGTGCAGCTACCACGTATGAAGAGCACTTACTTCTCTGGTGTCGGAAACCTTGTTTTCATTTTCGTATTCGTATTTTGAACGCCTTTGTGATATTTTTAATTTGGGGTGTTTGTGTTAGAATCTTGATGGGTATAAGCTTCTTTACAAAAAACACATTTTGACGCATTTTCATCTGAACAGTATGTTAACAGAGTCTGACGTAACTACATCTTTGTTTATATTTTGAGGCCATATTAGTTTTTTCTTATTTTTATAACACATACATTTAATATAATTTTTCTTTTATCATTTTAGTGGGATACTCGAAGTGGAGACATTGTCCAAGAATACGACCGGCATTTGGGTGCGGTCAACACTATTACATTCGTTGATGAAAATCGACGTTTCGTCACTACCTCCGATGATAAGTCTATGCGCATTTGGGAATGGGATATTCCTGTCGATATGAAATATATTGCTGATCCTACTATGCATTCCATGCCAGCCGTCACCCTAGCTCCAAATGGCAAATGGTTAGCATGTCAGAGTTTGGATAATAAAATTGTAATATTCTCTGCGCTGAATCGTTTTAAGATGAATCGCAAAAAATCTTTTACTGGCCATATGGTATCTGGTTATGCCTGTCAATTGGATTTCTCACCAGATATGAGTTATTTGGTGTCTGGAGATGGTGATGGTAAATGTTATATATGGGATTGGAAGACATCGAAAATGTATAAAAAATGGCAAGCACATGAGGGGGTTTGCATCAGTACACTGTGGCATCCACACGAGGCGAGTAAAGTTGTGACGGCCGGTTGGGATGGTCTAATTAAGTTTTGGGATTGAATTAATTTCAATTCGTTGGATGTGTTGTGTTTTGAAGTAAACATACTAATAGAGATAATAGTTTTATTCTAATTTTCTATATATCAAAATTATGTTATGTTATATTTTTAAGTTTAAGTTGACCACATGATGAGAATAAATGAAATGTGTATAAATAATAAATAAATTATATTATTACTTTATTATTAAACATGCGTTTGTAGGCAATGTTCTGAATAAGAAATTGTAAACAAAATATCAACAGATTGCTGTGTCGTTGAATATGTATTGCCGAAGTTATTGTTTACAAAACAATTTGCACGTTTCTAAATATTTCCTCCACCTTTCTCTTTTTGAAGAGGGAATACTAAAAAGCCGGTAATGCAAACAAACAAACAAACAAAAAACATCATTACAAATTCTAACACATGTTTCTTATCAATAAAATAACATGTTTGGTTCAGACATGCGCCCTAAAGTATGCAACATACTGTCATTAGTGTCAAACGCCAAAAACCACCCCATAGCATTTTAGCCAACATATGTGTAAGTGTATCCTTTGGAAAAAAGATACAAAGTTTTGTCGAGATTTTCACAGAAAACTAAAGAGAAAGAAATGTGAAATCAATAAAAAAAAATCAGTTTAAAATAATGCTAAATTAATATGTGGAATATGTGGCAATTAATCCTTTTATTGTGTAAAATTTATCTCTGATATTTGAGTTGAAATTTTACGAAAAACAAAAAGTATTGTTCCAAAGAAAAAAAACATGGCGAAAACTATAAACGACAAACGAATAAATTAGCTGCGGAACCTTGAAAAATTATTTGTTTGGCAAATATGCAAACATAACTACTACTAAACGTTAATAAACAAGAAATAATCAGAAAGTTACTTTGTCGATTGATAGAAACATATACTATATTGTCTGGCGAGTTTATTAGATAATCCTCATTTTGAGTTGGTTCTTTGTGTCTGCCTCCATCCTTTTTGTTATTTGGCTGGCTTCAGCAGACATACAGGCCCCATTATCGCAACAACAACAACAGCACGCAAAAAGCAACAATAGTAATATTAACACCAACAATTGTAACATCACCATATTTACAACAATATGGCTAAACCACCCTCTGACACCAATGGCCTAGGCTATGCCTATCATTTGCCATCCGGTGGTCTTTTGCTGCGCCTTAAGAATTCCCTCTCCCAATTCAGTGATTTATTTAGTGAATTTAATAAATATATAGCTCCAGCATATCATCATGACCGTTGTGAACGTTCCGTTCACATGCGTTTGTATTCGATGCACAAACGTGAATTTGTTATGGTATTTTTGGGATTTTTCACCTGTTTCGGTTTGGGCATAATAATTGGTCTAACTGGTCCACCGATAACAAGCACAACCGAAATAACAGCCAAAACTATATTGAATCGTACAACTTTAGCGAATTCGACGAGTGTTTTAGCCACAGGACCGTTTGCCATGAAATCGCCGCTAATGACGACGTATTCGCAGCAGTTGTGGTTAATTGCGAAAATCGTAACGAATAATAACGATGGTGAGTATTGTATCAAGATGTTATTTTCTGAAGTTTTATCAAAATAAATGTAAACATTCACATTAATGTAGTAATGTCCTTTGAGGAAAGTATTGTGGCTTTTAATATAAAATTATACGGTTCTCGATTTAATGATCCTGCTTTCTAGACTCCAATCAATTCACTCGGTCAAAAGAAAGGGCTTAGCCTGTGCTTGTGGTCTCCTTCAATCTCAAGGCGTCACTTTCTTTGGCCCCTCTAAGAGGAATTTTAATAATACTTAGAAAATATGATTAAACGTATTTTACTCCAAAAGATTTGTACTGCAAACCTTTCTTTCTTTTACAATTTTTGTTTGTGAGGAAGACTTGAACTAGATATGTTTTTTTTTCTCATAATGTTTATTCCCAGTTAGGAATTTTTAATTTTTACTTTTTTATATCCCCCATTAGTCACCATGTTTTTTGTCTTGTCTTGTCTTGTCTTTTTTTGCTTTGCCCCGAGCTCATTTTTCAATATTTGCCGAATGAAATACTGCGATATGTTCAGCTCACGAGCCATTTTTCGGTCACTGCGACGCGGGAATAACTTTTTTCTGGAAAAATCTCACCAAAATTATTTTTTAGGCTTGTAAACAATATAATGAGCTGTCACTGGAATAGTTTTAAAAGCTGTCGAACGAGGGGCTTAGAAATGACAGCAGCCTGAAGTTGGTTGCAGTTTTTTCATCTCACCCTGTAATTAGGATCAGAATCCAGATAGAGTGCAGAAATTTGATACACATTTGTTTTGGGTCTGAACTTAGATCAACTTCGAAGATGGGCTACATTGGTCAACTTTTTCGTATAGCACCTCAATAATGGTACTCCTTCATTTTAAGAATTTCGACGATACCACACAATATCCGGCATTCTGATGGCTTTTCAGCACTTTTGAAATTTGAAATCATTTATTTGAAGTTTCTAATGGGTGTCTAACTGCCTCACAGTCCTCATGTTCACTTTGTATGTCATGATGGCCGAACTTACTACTTTCTTTACTCGTTTATTTATTATTTTTCCCTTTAATTTCAGATGAAAAATATGATAAACGATTTTATGTTAGCGTAGGAATCGATGGCATTACGGAACAACACAAACCATTGAGCATTCTCTCCTCCAACAATGTTCATAATCGGACACGACATCTATCCTGTATACGTAATGATTGTGAAGAATTTACGGTAATGCATTTGGGTTTCTTGGAATATGCCCATTACATCATTACGGTGAGATTTTTTGGTTTGGAATCATTTCATCAGAAGTATAATATAACGGGTATAACATTTTATGTGAGTATTGTTATAAGAAGAAATCCTTGAGAGATTTTTACTTATATCGCTTTTTGTTTTCTTACAGTTCAAGACATATAGCCCGGAATTTACACAAATTGAAATATGGTTCCGATTCATATTTTTGCTGTTTGCCTTTATTGTGATAGTAAGCATTTCGAGACTCTTAGTTAGATGTATGGATGTGCCATTAATATGAGAATTATTTTTTTACAGTGTTGGTATGCCCATAGCTTGAGAAAGTATCCTATCTACGATTGGTCAATTGAACAAAAATGGATATCAGTTCTCCTGCCATTGTTATTGTTATATGATAGTGAGTTTTGTTGTTCTCATTTACTAAAATACGTGTAATTAATTATTTCATTTTTTGGCAGACCCATTCTTCCCACTGATATTCCTCATGAATTCATGGCTACCCGGTATGTTGGATGCTGTCCTGCAGGCTACATTCCTATGTTCTCTTTTAATGTTTTGGCTATGCATCTATCATGGTTTGAGACAAAATGAACGAAGATTTTTACGTTTCTATTTGCCAAAATTAATTGTGGTCATGCCAATATGGTTATGTGCCATTGTTTTAGCCACTTGGGAGAAATGTAATGAATTAAAGGATCCTACCTATAGTCATTTTGTTGATACGAAAAACTACAATGTAAGTTTGAATTAGATGAAGACGACTCTAAGGGACTTTTTCAGTATGACTATTCGAACGTGTATGCGAAAGAAAAACACACGTATATACAATTCTCTTTCCAATCGTCATACAAAAGCAACCTTAAATGAAACGTTACAATTATTTTCTCTCTGCCTTACTCACATTCAAATTATATTATTTTCTTTTAGGGCTTTAAAATGTTCTTTTACATTGCCGGGTGTATGTATATTCTTTATTTGGCTATGTTGATCTTGAGAGCTTATACAGAACTGCGATCAATGCCATTCTTTGGTAAGTGCATGAAATTTCAGTATTCAACAATACGTTAATATTTCTTCTGTCCCTTAGATATGCGCTTGAAATTTCTTACTCTCTTGATGCTCTTTGTCATATCAATAACAATTACCGTGACCACATGTCGGTTTGGTTTCGGCATTCTAGAGGATAATTTTGTAGCCAGTTTAAATACCACCTATAAAAGTTCAGCGCAGTTTATGTGTTTCTATGGTCTATTAAATTTCTATTTGTTTACAATGGCCTATGTCTATGCACCCAGTGGTAGATTCTCGCAAGGTAAGGTTTTAACATATTCCAAAAAAGATAATAATAGCAATTTAAAATTCTTTTAGCTGAAATCTCAGTCACCAAGGATAACCCTGCTTTCTCCATGATTAACGATTCCGACGAAGAAGTTGTCTACGGTTCGGAGGATGAATCACGACGTCCCCTAACAGTGGCTGGAAAAAACGACTACGATAGCGATTAGTTTAATATTGCAAAATAATTAAAGATTCAAAACAGAAAATTATAACACAAACTACCACCACGGCTATCAGCCGAAGACTCCCGCAAAAATAAGTTTCCTGACATTTTCAATTGGAAGAACGTAATAGTAATTTTTCTAAATTCTATATTTATAGTGTAATTCCTCTTTGTATTTTCTCTCCTCATCGTTTCTATTTATTATTATCCAATTTGTACAGTTATTGTTTTTTAATTGGTTTTAACTTAACCTAGTAATGATAAACAAAATTAACGTTTTTATCGCCATAAATATATTCCTAAAATAATTTAAGTACGAGAAAAATATTAATTATAATAATGTAATAACAACAATAATCAAATAAATAAAATATGAAAAAAAGAGTTAAAGAATAGCAATTCATTGCGGATTTAGAGAATCCAAAAATCAGTTTTTTGAGTTGATGGTTCAAAATTGCAGTCCAAGCTCTAACTACCTCACTTTTAAGAGTGATAAAACTCAAGGAATTATAAAGTATTATACATTTATTTGATCTTAAACAAATATTTGATATGAACCACGATTTTAAACTATTTAAAGATTTGGAGTTTTTAATACAATAAGTCGTTGTTCCCATTGAAACTATGCGATGTACAAGGTCTAAATCTTGGGTTCCACTCAGTTTTTCATTTTTGCCTTTTTGTCAGAGGGAGTGAGTCAATATATCTGACTATTATATGAGCAGAAATTTTGAGATAGGCGAAGTTTAAATTAATTTCAGGAAAGAAAATTGGGGAAAATATTTATGATGTTCTGAATATTAAAAGTTATTAGAAGTGGTGTCGTTGTCGAAATCTGATATAATTATTTCCATGTGCGCATAATAATTATTTCCTTCTGCTATTATTAGAATGTGTAAAGTTTGACTGGAATCGGGTAATTATTTTGCATTTTGTGGGATTCATAATTATTCAAAATTTTGTCCCTTTGCTTTTGTCCCTTTGCATCGCTTTTGATGTTCATTTGATAGAAATTTTACGATGTGCGAAAACTTTTCGCCGAAGAGTCTGAGATGTGCGATAAGCATTTGGAAAACAAGATATCTTTATTTAATTTAATTGTACGATTTTCGTATATTGCAGTAGATAGATATTGAGTTTCAAAACGGCAATTGTCCACACATCATTGTTTGATAAGCCCAATGGATTTTGGATATCTGGATGTAATCTTGTGATACATTGCAGGAGCCTCCAGTTTTTCTCTCTCTCTCTCTTCCTCTCTCTCCTAATCTACACGTTTTATCGTGGTTTAATTCCTATTACAGATGTCATTTAACACTTCTTGTGCAGCTAAATTCAACTTTAGCAACCAAATTCGAAAAAAATTTCAGATTTTTAGTGCAACTATGCCTAAAATACAATTAATAAAAGGGATCAGAGAAAATTTTGTCAAAAATGTGTTTTGTCCAGCTAAAGCCAAAATACAGCTATGAATAATGCAGGCGGTTTCAAACTTATAGCACTTAATCCTGACTACTTGCAGCATCTCAACAAAGAATTGGCAGATCACGGATGGTACGCCAAGTCATTACTGTAACAATTGTAGAACGGAATTTAAATACTACTTTGAATTTTGAAAAAAAAAAAAAAAAAATAAGAAATAGTTTTTATTTGCATGCAGTAAAACTCCATCTAGTGATATATAGTTTGGCGCAAACAACCCCATGTCATGTCATAAACCAAAGTATGATGCTTGCAAAAGCTCGGTGCTGTGAAACCAATGCAGTGGAAAATGGCGTACGATACTCATTAACGTAATCTACTTTTTTTTAAATATTTTTTCTATTCCGTATATAATCTATAAAAACTTTGTTAAATAAGCCATGATTTAATTGTTGTACATAATTTGTTTTAAAATTTATATTTAAGTGTAATTTACTTTTCTTTGGTACGTTACGAGCGCTCAGTAATTGTCATTAACAACTTACAATTCATCGCCGTTATCAATTTTTTTCGACTTTGTTGTCATGTTATAAATTGCAGTTGGAAATTTATAAATTTTGTCGAGTGAATAAGCATGAAGCATCCAAAGAATTTATATGAATTAAAAGCGAACAATTTATTCCACAATGAAAGTAGGTCATAGGAATTGAAGAAAGGCTCCGGAAAACCCGGTGGAATGGAATCAAACATAGAAAAGTGCTGGTTCTGATTCCGATAATTCATTTCATGAAATATGACACTTGAACTTGTTCGTTTCGAAAAGTCATTTCGAAAATTGTTGAGCATTTTAAATTGTTATTTTGAAACAAAAGAATTAAGAAATCAGCTTGATTATAGTGATATATCTAAATTATAATTTGAAAATAAGATTTGTTTCAAGTTTGTCGGTAAGTAGCTTTAATCAATTGGATTTCTTCTAAAAAATTAATATTGGCTTTTACACAAATTATAGGACATTTTCTGTGAACATATAGACTGGGCATTCATTTTTTCCTGTGTTTTTGTTGCATGCCTCTTCCCCATTGTTTGAGTGCAATTTATTTCCTCGCCTTTCTTTGGTATCATTTGGCGGCATTATATCAGTTCATTGTGGACACTGCTAGATCAGCAAAACAAAACAATACCAAAGCCAACTTAACAAACAAAACAAAAAACAGAAATTCCAATACATACAAGCCCAGACACACACAACGAGCAACAACCAACCACACTGGCTGGTAGCACCTCACTCAGCTCAGTTCAGCTCAAATCAAATTAGAAAAGTCAGGTAAATAGTCAGTTGCATTAGTAAGTCCATCGGTTGAACATTGTTGGTGCGGACAACCGAGTTTTGAATGTGTGTATTTGTTCGTGTCGTGTAAGCCAGTTTCAAACAAAAGACAACAAAAAAGTGCATTTCAGTTGTTATTTGTATCTTGCAACGAATTGGCCAACTTCATATTGGAGTTTGCAAGAAGTTGGTTGCAACCAAACTTGTCTCTCGCAATCATCTGTAATCTTGGGAATACGCAGCAAATTTGAAATATTGTGCAGAAGTAGAAACAACCTGAAATCGTTGAAGTTTTTGTAATAATTTATTGAAAAACAAAACGAAAAAAAGAGAATTCTTAAAATCTCTAGTGAAAAATGATTTGTGTGTAGCTTGAATAGCAAATGAAGAAAAAAAAGTAATTTACAGATTCATTGTTGCATACCCAATTTAATATTCTTTTCTGAAGAATTACACTTTGTGGTGTTAAAGTAATTTGTGAGTTGTGGTGTGTACATGTCTTGGCTTGGCAAGCCATCATTATTATCATCAATTAGTTAATATTATCATCCACCAACTTCCAACAGACAAAATACTAGTGGCCACCATAGAGTCACCATTCAAAGTGATTATAGTTCTGACAATTTATTTTGTGGACGTCATCAAAAGGTTCTACGACGTTGAGGCGTTGCAATTGGTAGATCCAGTATTTGCTGCTTGATTTTATTTGGCCATTGGTAACAGGTAAGTCAACCAAGAGATCTTCTCTAGCAAATATCGAGTTAATTATGGCTACATATTTTTTATACCGTCCACCATATATAGTATGGGGGGTATATTAAGTTCGTCATTCCATTTGTAATTCATCGAGATAATAATTTTAGACCCAACAAGGTATATATATTCTTGATCAGCGTAAAATTCTAAGACGATTTAGCTCTGTCCTTCTGTCTATCTGTTGTAATCACGCTACAGTCAAAATGTATTAAGATAGGAAGCTAAAATTTGGCACAGCTCTGTCTGCAGGCAGGTCAAGTTCGAAGATGGGCTATATCGGTCCATGACATCGTATAGCCCCCATATAACGGTACCCCCCGATATTCGGTATTTTGATGATTTTAGCCACATTTTCCAATAGAATTGTCTGGAATTCTACACAAGGAGTTCTTTGTGAGCACTCTACACCCTGAAAGAGTATTTTCTATATAGGTCCACAATATCGTATATCCCCCATATATCGGCACCCTCCGATATTCGGTATTTTTAAGATTGTAACAGAATTTTTAATGATTTTTATTTTTTTTTTAATTTCCTAATTCGTTCCAAATGGTGGAGAGTGTTCAAAGTTCGGCCCGGCCGAACTTACTGCATTTTTTTTTTACTTTTTTGTTATTAGTTTCTATCTAAATTAATTATTTTTCTACTCTATTGTAACAAACTGCTTTGTCAAAAATGCTCTTGGATTATATTGATAAACTTTTATTGAAGTATTGCAATGAAATTAATAAAATGTGATTGTAAAGATTACGAAAATAAGATTACAACATGAAATGGTTTTCCGCAAACTAAATTGTATATTGTTGAAAACATTGATCCGGGTACTATTTGCGGGTTTTTCAAAATTATATGCGAGGAGAACCCATATTTAATGTCTCGGCCGTAAAGTCTTTATAGACGCTAATGAAGACTAACGCAAACAAAATTTTCAATTCAATCAAGCTAAAATGTACTTATACAAATTCATACTAATCGACATTTGGGAAGTGCTTAAATTTTCAATTTGACCACTTGGGATTCGCATTAGGTCAACATATTTAAAGCTGTGGGCGAGACGGGCTGCTAAAGGTGAATATTTTTATACATTTTGTCAAAACATAATTTGTATAAATTTATCAATATAATATAAATATTGCCTTTTTTTAGATAAAATAAAATACATTAGCGTTTACCCGTGATAAGCTACTTTAGTATTTCAGCTAAATTCAAACTTTAATAACTAGAACTTTGAATGCATAGAAAGGCTTGGAGAAATGTTTCAACAGAAAGATAAATATATGTGCCTTCACAAGTATATTTAACACTTTTTAACTTTTTTCTGTATTTCCACAATGCTACATTTTTATATTAAGTTTGCCATTCCTGTGTAACACTTCAAAGTATACATTTTAAACCCTACAAATTATATACAGGCTGAGATAAAAACTGCAACAAAGTCAAACGCCATGATTTTTACATTTTTTTAAATATTATTGAATGAAAGCAAAAATGTCGAAAATAGCATCAAATTTTAGAATAATATTGATTTGTTCGAATTTGTCACTATTGGCACGAATTATGGCCTTCAAACGACCAATGCAACCGTCACACGCTGCCCAAATGTTGCTCTGCGGTATTTTGGCCGATTCCCGGAGAAGTGTATTTTTTAGTGGCAACTTTGCAATTCAAAATACTCCAGACACAGTAGTCCAACGGATTGGTATCCGGAGATTGTTCGCTGGAAATGAACCGAGGAACCTCATTTTGTAACCATTCTTGGGTGGCGCGTGCTGAACGCGAAGGTGCTGAGTCCTGTTGGAATGTCCAAGGTCTGCGGCCAACATGTTTTCGTGCCAAAGGCTTTAATACACCCTCCAGAATATTTT